GAAATAAAGCCTCAAAATTTTACCCGATCATTGAGAAATAGCACTTCTTTCGCTCTGATACTGGTGGGGGGAAAATCCTTAAAACGGTCTAAATTGAAAAAATAACCCCCCCCCCCGGGTTTACTATACCACTATGCAAATATACAAACGGCCTATTTACTTTCAAAATAGGGCGTAATGTTTTCTCATATCAGACCACGTGCCATTCCCTACTATGAATACTTGTYCTAAAGCTTCAGTAAGAATCAGAGCAGGCCTGGTTCTAACTGCTCRACTCCACCGACGTTTCTAAGCATTTTATGACCTTATCGAAGCATTCGAATCAAATCAAACGCCCATAATGAAATTTCGCCCTCAATGCATATGCAAACCAAGGCGCTGTAGAAACTTTAATCTTATATTTGAACGGCTGTGTACATGTTTGATTTAGCAAAGAAAAGATATTATTATAGCAAGGGTGATCGTTTTTAGCATCTTTACAAACTGTTTCTTACTGTTTGTATGTGCCTGACATCCAATGTTGCTGAACAGATACTTCGTAAAAGTTGTTGCCATTTTGGTTGTTCGTGATATCTTCTGCTAGAACATTTTCCTAAAGTATTTTGCTCTATTTCATGGTGCGTCTTACGTGTAAGATTCAGTTTTTATCGATACACTGAAAAATCTCTGGGTTGATCCAAGTCAGGGCGCGGCTAACTGCACAGATCGAACCCTGAAACAACCTCTGTGGGCTGATCCAAGTCAGGGCATGGCTAACTCACAGATAGAACCCTGAAACAACCTCTGGGTTGATCCAAGTCAGGGCACGGCTAACTCACAGATTGAACCCTGAAACAACCTCTGTGGGCTGATCCAAGTCAGGGCATGGCTAACTCACAGATTGAACCCTGAAACAACCTCTGTGGGCTGATCAAAGTCAGGGCATGGCTACCTCACAGATTGAACCCTGAAACAACCTCTGTGGGCTGATCAAAGTCAGGGCATGGCTAACTCACAGATTGAACCCTGAAACAACCTCTGGGTTGATCCAAGTCAGGGCACGGCTAACTCACAGATTGAACCCTGAAACAACCTCTGGGCTGATCTAAGTCAGGGCATGGCTAACTGTAAGAGATCGAACCTCGAAACAACCTCTGGGCTGATCTAAGTCAGGGTATGGTTACTCTCACACGTCAGTTCGAATTCAGCGGGAATCTTATCCCTCGTTTCAATCCATCCATCCA